ATCTAAGCAGTGCAATGAAAGTGTTTTGTTGACTGTGATGTCTGGAATTTGACTACCATTTTGATAGTGATTAAGGCCTACACATAAAAGTGCCTATGTTCATGTGCGAGCAACCGATAACTAGAAACATTTGACTGCCCCTTTAATTTTTGATTGATTTGACAATGTCAATCAAAACAGATGTTAGCCTTGTTCTAACTAGATTGTCAAGCTACCTTCATGGTCTAACCTATTCAAATGCATTATACAGCTTGTAAATTAACGAATTGCTATAACTTGTAAAGGATCATGTTTTAAAAGACTTCCAACCGTTCAATTACAAGCACGAAAAAAAAGTTAATACCCGGTGTTACCCAGTGTTAAGAAAGAGAAACGTGAGGGGATTACCAGTGATTAGTTTTACAGTCATTTACAATTTTGACCTCCCTCCTACATTAATTTGGAACTAGGGCAGTCAGCATATCAATATCTCATGCCTTGTATTTTCGAGTCATCAGAACAATATGCTAAGTTATGGTACTTAGCCACCTGATGGGCTATAAATGTCTTCTTTAGACATGGAGGTTTTTATTAATACTTAATGCTGATACAACAATATGTCAAGTTTATAAATCAGGCTGAAGTCAACTTGTAGCAAACAAGAAGACATAATATGGGTATATATAGTCATAGTATATACATCATATTTTCATAATTGAGATAATATAATTTGTATAGATAGCCCTTCCTTAGTTTGCTTCAGATGATATTGTTTTATTGATCCAAATCAATCTTTGTTCCAAACTTTTTCAAATCAAATTTTTTTGAGAAGATGAATGAATCAAATTGACTGTACTAACATTTTTTTAATGGCAAAGTAAAATAAAAAATTGTGTTATTTATACATAAGGTAGTACAGTTAATAAATAATATGTTGGTTAGATCTATATAGCGCTTCATGGCCCCTAAGCGCTTTATGTTATCACCCCCAGTCATTGTATCAAGCACATATATGGACCACATACACAGCTCTCTGGGGAGAATGCCATAACGTTGCAGCTGTAATCCGTGCATTTTGCGTTTGAACCGTTGAACTCTTGGGTGGGGAGAGACAACCATAGGCAAATTGCCTTGCCTAAGGACAAAAGCGAAATGCACAGCGACTGATTGAACCTCCAACCTCAAGTTGAGAAACAGAACTGCTACCGCTGTGCCAAACCACTCCTAAAAGTAAATCATTAATGAAACTGGAAGTAGATGACCAAATGTACTTTAAGCAGGTTCATAATTTGTGTTAAATCCATTCAAGGGTGCATCCAGGATTTTGCAATGTCCGCTTTATCACCCCTAACTAAATGCGCTGCTCATATTATTATGACGATAATATTAGATGATTGCATCGTAATCAAAATTAGGCTATTTGCTATTTCTCAGTCAATCATAGAATGGGCAGCTCAGATTGTTTATATTTTAACCAGAAGATTGAATAAATTTAAATGTGAGCCAATTAAAAATATAATTTATGACAAAGTGGAAATCATACTAAAAGTCAAAATTTTCCTTTTTTCTGAATTTTTTTCTGATTGTATGTTGCATATGTCTGCTAATGTTTAGTGTTAAATCTGTGTTTAACTCTCCCGTTCACCATGCCAAACACCAAGTTTATCAATGCTGTAGGTGCATTCTGCAAATGTTTTTCTGCTTATTTATGTCAAATAAATTAACTTAAAAACTTAAATTTAGTACTTTTGTGGTATATCAGAAATTCAGAATTATTTCCTTCCTACTTGGACCTTTACTTAATGTAACATATTTGTCTTTCTTCAGAGGAAATCCATGTAAAAAGAGAATATAATTCCCATTTACTTCAGGTTCAGCACTCAATTTCCAAGTAAGATCTCAAAGTTGAAACATTCTTGTTATTTATTACGCCTTGTCTGCCTTCAGGGTATAAAATATTGCAGTCACTTTCAAATATCTCAAAGCATGATGGGTAATAACTGTCAAACCCAGACAGCAAGTGTCACTCAAACTTCCACGTACTTGAGCACCCGTGGAGCCAAAATTTATCCCCATCAATATTTTGCAGTCCACCTGCTTTAGTTCATTCCGACAAATTTCCTACCAATTAATTGACACTCAAATATCATAGAAAATCCAGAGCTGTAGAGTCGGGATTGCTAGAACCGACTTGTCAACTTTGTTAAATTGAGTCATTTGCAAATTAGTTCCTTTAACTTGTTTTGAACAACTATGCTGTGTTTTTGACTACATGCATGCTACGGTATATTTACTTAACTTATTGACGATGTCACGGGTTTGAAACAAAAAACCGTTTCATTTCAAATACTTTATATCCTTTGCTGGATGCTTATTACTACTTGATTACCTGCCAACAAAGTTTCTATCCAGATGTATTTAGGCGTAAATCATTTTTTTTCTTGTAAAAATTTCATTGGATTAAGAATTGCCACTGGTGAAAAAAAAAACTGGCCTAATAAGTGTGGCCTGTATTTTGTCAATTGTTTCTATGTCTATCATTGAATTTTAATAAACAAGTTAACTTTGAAGATAACACAGTATCAGGTGGAAGTAATTAATTGATTGAAGTTTGTATACCAAGGATCAGAAACCCCTTCCCCTCCTCTCTTTCTCATTCTTCTGTGACCTCGTTTAATTATTTAGATAAAGTAAAAAATAAGTTACTAATGTTTAAAATAATTTTGTTTTGTAAAATTGGTTTTAAATCAGTAGCTTCACATCTCTTGTGTCATCCCATATAATCTTCAAACCACTAGTAGTATCATGGAGGTATGGTAGTATCATGGGCCTAAATGTTTATTTCAGTTTCATCCTAATACTATTCTAAATATAGTGATGTAATATCCTTAAGTAAAATAACAAAAACATCCCTTCCTCATCATAATTACAAAAGTAGGGTAACATTCTAATAATTTGTTTCCCTTGATGGTCTGTAACTAAGTCTATGACTCTTGGATAGTGAAATTGTTTTGAGTTCTTACAATTACAAATTGCAGTTTTGTATGTTGCCCAAAGGTAATTTTTCAAAAGTAAATTGACTAGTACTCAAATAAATAGTTTGATTTATGTTCGCAGCACATGATCGACTACTTATAGTAAAAGTCAGTAAAGATTACAGTGATTAAAGTCAAAATTCCAGCATCTTAAATTCTAGTGTTGAAACTGATCTAGGGGAACATTCTTCACCAGATTGGGGATTTGTTTGAAGAATTTAGGTAAATGCAGAGTTAGTTGGTCATCATTTCCTATTTGTGATTCATAATCTGAAAACTAATTTTAGGAGTAATGGATAAAAAGTATGACAAAATGTGTTAAAGATCCTTTTTGTGGTAAAACTGAAATACAAAGAGACTTTAAATAAATTATCAGCATCTAAAAACATAACAAAACAATTAATTTAATTTCAAAAGAAACTTAATAACTAACTGTTTTTATAGGTTATTGGAAAGCAAAATCTTAATGTGACCTTTAATTATACTAGTATCTTTTAACCTAAATTACCAAATCGTTCTCCCTGTGGATTCTTTTTACAAAATGCCATATTATTAATTAGTAGGCCTATTTTTGTAATATATTTTATTTTGGATATATTTATAACTGTTGTAAGCAAATGTGGAACCTAAAATTTCTAAGTTCGTACATTATTGACAAAAAAAAATTAATCTTCTCATATAGCATCTGAGAAATGTATCTACACATAACATCTTAACCAATCACAGCAAAGAAGGATCAGTATGTTTAATTTTCATCAGGCAATTAAGGGATGAATTAGCCTTTTAAAATGAGCATTATCACTTTAGGGGTCATCTATTTTTTCATCTTTATCAAGATACTCTTTTCTTTGAGTCCACTCTCTTCCCCAAATAATTAAATAATAAAATAATGATTGCTATTCTGAGATCATTATTTTTTCATTCGTTCAAACATACTCGGTGTATCCTCTTCTCCCTAGGCCTATGTTTCGTACACATGAAAATTATAAAAACAATTGATGGCCCCTCCTTAAATCTAAATATATTCTTTTATGTATTATTAGGCGATACAGACATGTGTTGTATGTGGAATGTATTTGCTTCATGAAGGCCGAAGATGCGTATACCCAAGTTTAGTCATTGTAGGTCTACGTCTTACTCTAGGAGCATGTACGGTAACCTTTCCTCTATAACATATCTGGATATGGATACTTAGACTGTCATATCATGTTGCTATTAATGTTATTATCAACACTTTCCACTTTGCAAAGGTTAATAGACTGAAACCTACTCAACCTATCGAAGGTCACGGCTGTGATGAGCATCGCAGCTTACGTTGAGTTACAATATCAGCTGGAAGCTGATGAACTGAAACACCTCGTTAATGACAAACTGTTTTGAGAATGATGAAATAGAACATCTTGTTATCATAGCAGTGTCTGTATTTTTTTTTTATTATATTTCTGTTTATTATTAAAAGAGGTAAAAAATATTTAAGTCAATACATTTATTAGTGTTTGAAATAAAGTTTATGTTTAATTTAACTTTATTTTAATGCATTTCAATAGCAAACTTTTTTTACTGCAAAGTTAATAAATAAATCTGAATTATTATTTGTTTTATTATTATGCAATGACTTCAATTATTACTTTTAACAGTATGCTTATATTATTAATAATATAGTCTGTTTTCGTATGGTCATAAGAAATATTTGTTATATGTAACCTACATTTATTTTTATCTTCATAATTAAATTTATTTTAAGACTACGAGTTAACTTCAACAAATTGTATTTGTCTGAAATAAAGTTTTTTTTTGACTTTGTAATATACCTTCATGACTTCAGAGAAGGCTACACACGACTAGTTATAACTTCTGTTATTCTGCTGTACAGTAGGCAGGATTGTTGAACCAGACTGGCCAATCACAGGCCAGTGCTGATTGGCCAATTAGCTGTCTAGCTTGAGGGAGGGAGACTTTACAATCACAAGCAAAGGCATTCACTCTTTTGAACAGTACAAGCTGAGCTGTATGGTGAGGATTGTTGACAGTCATTGAAGTGTACTTGCACCGTTGTTCCACCTTCCTGTGTTTCACAGCATACTGTATATGCCTGAGGTTAGATTATTGTGAAAAATAGCCCCAACCGAAAGGACCAGTCAGTGTTGTGTTAACCCGATTGAAAACAATTTTACAGGGCTAGAGATTTTGTAAAGGGCCTTGCATTTTGATGGTAGACTATTGACAGAGCTCTAGTGCTGGTACGGGTACAAATCAACCGCAGAACAGGAGCCAAAACACCAGGATTTATTGGTGTTGTTTAGACAACTTTCACTTATTATTATAATTTACTACCCAAGCGGATGGTGTCTTAGACCGTTGGTTTCTACATCACTGGATTTTACCTGGTTTAAAAATCTGCTTATATATGGTTTACGGATTATTATTTTGAAACCTGCTGCTGGGTGTTTTAGGAAAATACATAGAAAATTCAAACAGGTAGAGAAAAACAATTGCTTCTTTAGTTGTAGGGCTGTACCCATACCATCTTAATGTGTCTGTTTAAGTGTTGTTTATTGGCTGTCTGTATTTTATTAGATGTAGATACAGCGACTGTCAGAGTTGCCTAAAGTGATTCTGCTGTTATTACAGGTGTACTAATAAAAGATTCTAAATCAGATAGCGCCATATTAAAATATGTTATTTTACCAAATAGCCCTGGGCGAGATGAGAGGAAAGAGGGTTCCCTTTATATAGACCCCCCTTCCCTTACGCCTTGAAGGCCTTGCGTTTAAGCGTGTCATGAGTATAATACATGCTTTCTATTACGAGTGTGCGATCATGCTGGGAAGGGAATTGAGGCCACACAGATATTTAGAAATTGCTGACATCTGAACTTGATATAAGATAATGAAGATTGCCAGTGATTTGAAGAATTTGGTAAAAATGATTATTATTAGGTAGTTCAAATATTTATTGTCATCAGCTACCTTTTAAATTTTGTGAGCCAATACAGTATAGCATTATACAGCACTTGATGGGTCATGTTATAATACTGTTAAAAATATATTTAAATTCAATTTTAAATTTGCTAGGTCTAGTACAACTATCAAATGTTAGCATTTAAATTAACGGTGTAATGACGGATAAAAATTTAGAATAATTTTTACCAAATATATATATATATTGTTTAATAAAATATGCAGAACGTTATGAGATACAAAGTATATACAGTAGTTAGTTTATTTGCAAATATTTGTGTAGAAGATTTAGGCTAACTGTATCTCTACCACTGTTACTGAATCCGTGTATCTATAGAAAAGGTATTAATGACTTAAGTAACCACAATGGAGTGGATTTTGCAGGATCATTCTTATTGTAAATTCCATATGGAATGGGTCACTAGAACTGTTGTTCTGTAATTAAAGTGTGTTCGTGACACTACCATTTAAGGCCTATAAAATATTAAAATCATCTAAACTAATGTACATTGTTCCATATTTTTCAAGTAAAATTTTTATACTGATAGTACTTATTTCATATGCACAATGTATGATAAAATTGCTCATTTGATTTAAAAATTACAAATGTAGTTGCCCATTTACAGTATATAAAAATGAATGTATGAATAGTTATTTATAAATTCAAATGGAAAAATATTAATATTTACTTTAATAATTATAATAATTTTTATTTATATTTTCTTTATGCTTTACAGATATATCTAAGAAATGGCTGGGGTAAGCAGACAACAGACGGGGATCTTCCTGTGTTCTATTCTTTACATTATTTATTTAACATCAATTGTCAAAGCAGAATATGGAGGTGAGGATGCATATTGTATGCATTGTACTTATTATTATTTAAGTGTAGAGAGGGGGTAATTTTCTTGAATTATCACTTTCTGTGTTCCAAAATTTCTTAAGTTTCTAATAAGAAAGAGAGAAACATATTTTATCAAATGTATAAGAAGTAGAATTTATTTGAGTCTGATGTTTGGAAAGTCGTAGTGAAACATTTTTGTGATTACTGTATCCCCCAAGGCCCGATTGGCTATCCTGACGGTCCTGTGTGATATAGTATGATTTTTCAAGATACGTGTTAAGATTTTGATCATTCCCATTAAGTATATAAGGCCTAAGAAATACATCTATAGAGATAAATTTTGCCTTTCAAGTACCGCTTTCTATAATGAACATGAACCTATAAAAGCGGTTTACATTATTACCGTATAATATGATATCTTAAAAGGATATTATAGGATTATAATATTGCATCTACTTAGTAATATCAATATTCATATTTCCTTATTAGCTTTGTTTAGACCTTATGGTTCATGGTTTTCTCAGTGTTATTTGATACTACATAGTAACACTGAAGTTTCAACATGCTAGCCACTAAAACCACAGTATCCTCAGGTTATTTAAATTAATGACTCAAATATGATGTCTGGCAAAGACCTTGAAAGAAAACCATTAAAAACAAACACATTTTCGACATCAAGTTACTATTTTTGTGCTCAAGATCAATTTTGTCTTATAAATACTTAATTTTTTTAGCCAAGTATTCTTTTAACATTTTCCTGTGACAGTTATCAGATTTCCAATTTAAGTCCTTTATAATTTGTCAGTTTAAACTAAACTTTATTTTTTCATTTCATTCAAGCAATCAATATTCTTGCCCTTATCACCTCTAGGAACTCAATTACAATGAAGGATTTCCTGTTGGCATAGGCTATTGGAATCAATAATAAAGTACTTCTTTTAACTATGCAGGCCCTAGATCTGAAGTATTAGTAATATTGGTATGCTTTCCTTTCTCTATTATTTACTGTATAGTAATCACTTGTAGAGCTAATTTTTACAGTTCAAAGAACACTTTAGCACTAAAGGTTAATTGTTGCAAATTGCTTCAAAATGTATTCAAATATGAATTTACTTGAGCTTTTTTTTTCAATTATTATTGTCTTAGACAGACCTTAACTTTTTAAATTGCTATTAATAATAATAATAATAACTTTTTATTTTAATAATTATTTTCTTTTCAACCATTACTTAATGTGTACACATATCCAATTTATCTGATTACATAGTAAAATATAGAATGGGTGTATCTATTGTATACCAACCTGTCCATTTAGATTTTAGGGAGTGGTAAGATAATTACAGATAAGGACTTCTCAGTAGTGTTTATTCAACTTTAAAAACTAAGTAAAAATAAATAAATTTTTCTGCATCAATATATAGTAGAAAATATTTTGTAAGAAAGTTAGCAGAAGTTGTTTTTAGTTATTAACATTCCTAAAGTTTATTTCTTTAGGAATATTAACATTTTCTTTCCCAAACAATTGAAGAAGGTGGGTTGTGCCTCTGAACTGTAAAAATTAAGCAGCCACCCAAGGCAAAAGTAATTAAGTCTTAAACACCTTAATATTAGTTTGTGGTAAACATTGACAACTACTTTTTACAGTTTTAGATTATGATCTCTGTCTAACATATTTATTTATATGATTAGGAAACAGGGTTTTTTAGAAGTCATATCAAAATTCAAAATCAATTTGTTTAAAGAATTTTTATTGCACAGTGAATCTTTGTTGTTAGAACTCGTTTCCTCTACATTTAGCTTTGTATTTTTCATTTTCGGAAATGTATACAGTCTTTAATGAAATTTGATGTGGAGAATTGTAACTTCAACAATGATTATTGAAGGTATGTAAATATCTGCCTCCTCCACTTGCCTCAGGTTGTCTGTTGACCGAGAGATTTCATCGACACGAGACGCGGTAACTGACTTTAGGTGTTTTCAATTCTGCCTATAAGTATCAATAGATTGCCACTCAGAAAGATCAAATTTCTACCAATTTATAAACTGCTATTTAACAGAAGAATTAGCGATTATTTAATACATACATACAGGTTTGTTTAAGTTTAAACTATCAACATTTTTAGCACTCTCAAATAATTAAAAAAAAAGTTTATTACGAGTTGCCCTAACTCTTTGTTAAACCAGTTCTTAGCACCTTGTTTTTGATTAATTTGAATCATATACTATAATTATTATATTTTACAAGTTGTCCTAACTCCTTGTTAAACCAGTTTTTAGCACCTTGTTTTTGATCAATTATAATCATAATTATTATTAATTATTATGTTTGAATACAAAAATCAAAATTAATAATTTTATATAACAAAACAGTTTCTGTCAATACACAATGTGCAATATCTGTAGCATCATATCCTACTTGTTTTTCTGTGTACACCCACATGTAATCCAATAATCTCTACTGTCCCTTACTATATAGATAGGTCTATCTACAGTAACATTGGTATTGTTTTCTTCAGTGGTCAACAGTAAAACACCACCTTATCAGATACACAGTTTGTATATAAAGTCACAAATGATTGTTTATTCCTAATATAAATAGTAGAGTACATACTGAACTGATGAAAAACAAACCACAGCAACTATAATGAAAATTCGTCTTTAGAGTAGGCCTAGTGTTAAATTTAGATTGACAGAATAAAGCCATTGTATCTTTTTTTTTATATCTTTGTAAACAGAACTATTGACTCAACTGTTATTGATATGTAAATTAAACATATTTTAAATTACTAACATTATTCCACCAAACAATAGTTTAGCCACACTTAACCAATATGCACAAGGCAAGTAAAATAAGCAAGCTCTAACAATCATTATTAAATCTGATAATAAACCAAGAAAATTATATTTCAATTAATCTAAGTCAAAAAAGTAATATGAAAGGCCTATTTCTTTTTTTTTCTAGTTAATTTTTTTAATGAATAAATATTATTAAAAGGCTCTTTATGTAATAATAATAATAATCATAATAATGTAAGTCCTACTATATGCACATAATAATAATTTCTCTATGCACTTTTACATGAACAAAAAGAAACATAACCATGAAATATCCCAAGTTTTTAATACAAGAAATATAAGCAATAGTTTTAATTTCATGCAGTTATATTTTAACTCATGTTAAGTATTTCAATGGCCAAATTTGCTTAAACTTTTCCACTTAATGGGTTTGGATAGTTCCTGATAATGGGTGCGATGATACAGATATTATGCTGCTTAGACTGTAGATTACATGCAGTATTTTCATATTCAATAGAACAGAATTGCTGTCTCTATTGGAGCATGTGTACCCCGTATAGAATTGCCTCACGGTGAGTTAAACGTAGCAGATGTTAAGGCACGACTGCCGTACGCAGTTCAGCATCGGTATTCTCTACCTTTTGAAGGCTGTGTGTTAGAAATGATCTTGTTATTGATATTGCAGTATGCAGTGTTTTGGAAACAAAGAAGGGGGAAAAGTTTGCCTTACAGGCTAAAGTAGTGTACATAAACTTGTATCTGAATTTGAGGTTACAGGGTCCCTATGGAGGTACTATGTATGCCTACCATATTCAGCATTTTTGGAAGAATTGAATCCTTTCTGCATTAGTACAGTCGGCACTGAGGTTAGAACCTTCGTGCACATAGGTTAAAGACATATTATAACAAATTTAGTGATTAATATAAAATGAAATTTTAAAATTTGTTGTTTCTGTAAAAGAGGAAAACAAGAACCATTTTCCCACTTTGTTACTATTTAAAAAAAATATTCTACTAAAACATGTGACATTGGCCAGGCATTATAGTAGGTACACATATTTACTATATATAGTAATTGCAGTGTAGATATTCTAATGATTGTGTGTTTTGCAGTGTGGAAATTATAAAATGGAGGTGACCCAAGAAAGAGGTTGTAGGAGAGAAAGTGTTTTTTTTTTTTTTTTTTCGATTTAGCCTACAAGAGATGTCTGTTTGCAAAATGATTTGGTGTATGATTGTGGTTTAACATATTAATGATATGTTTTTGTATTATTATTGTAACAATGTGATGAGAAGGAATGAATTGTCAGCATTTGTATTTTACTATTCACAATAAATCAATTGAAATAATATTATGGTAATATTGAAGGTCATGTTACCTATTTGTTTATCAATTGATAATTTGTAATTCAACCACATATTTACATTTGGTACAGTACAGTAAACCTGTGTAGTTACAGGATAATGTCTGTAGTTACAGTATTAGCCCGTTGATAATAATTTTCAGATTTATGTTATTGTCTTGGCATAACATTTTGTGGTTCAAACTTAGTGTGTTGTGACTGGGAATGTTTATAGTAAAGACTATAAATTCATATTCTTTTAATGGGGTCAGTCTTCCGGTGTAAATACCACAAATATTGAACTTATTAGCAATTTAATATAATTAGGATCTTCAAAAAGTAGGCTATTACCCTCCTAAATTGAGCATACCTGTGCTATTTTTTCTTTCTGCTTCTGTTGTGATAATATATATTTCCATTTTATCTGGCAGATGTGAGTATTTTTTTCCAAGAAAAATAAGAATTCTGATAAGTACAAATGTTTTGTAATGTTTTTTCAGGCAACTAGTCATATAACGTCTCCTAACTAACAGTGTTTGGTTCCAATTTCCTTCTGTTTTCATCGTAACTACACGTCACAGAAATGTATAGGCCTAATTTAAGGTGACAGGGTCATTTGGGCCAGGCTCGTTGATCGTGTCCGCAATTTGTTCCAAATTACATACAAAGGATCAATTCCCTTAGTTATGTTATTCTTATCAAATCATCTTAACTCTATTGTGTATAGTTCATTGCAAAAGGTGTTCTACGTAATTTTCTATCCGTAATGATCTTGATGAAAATTCCACCATTTTTTCATCCTCCATAGCTCCTACTGTTTCCGCTGTAAGAGTGCGTTGACCTCTGACATATATATCCACTCTCATTACCAGTTTGCTTGTCAAGCACCAGATCATATAAACATATTGTACGGCAGAATATTATTGTGTTAATGACCAGTTTATAAGTTATTTAGGCCTAATGATTTTGTTACCCTCAGAAGTAGTATGTAATTTACCCTACTTAATTCATATATAAAGACTCAAGATTATCTTAGACCTTTTGTAAACTTAAAAAATGTGAAGGGAATTAAAAGTATTTTTCTATGGAATTTAATTCTATTGTATATGAAAAGTATATAAAAAAACATAAAATTGCACAGATTTGTCTGATTTAATAGAAGTAATTAAATTTAGACAATTAAATTTAATATGTATTGGAGAAAAGAAAGCAACCGTCCTAAAATAAGGCATATAAACTTACTAGATGGATGTGACAAGAAAATTAAATTTATACTATATTCCATGCAAATGATAAACTGATTATTTTTGAATTAAAAAAGTAATTATTTTATTTTCATTCTAGGTTGTGCCATTGGAGGGTCCGAGGGGTTACTTTCCCATAGGAAACTATCCGTGTGCTCGGGAACGTGGCAGGGACATATAAAGAAAGCAGAAAACCTATGTGCAATAGGATGGAGTGTGTGCTCACATGAAGATGCCAACATTCTTAAAACCATCGGTTGGGACGAGGCCATGAAGATAGACGGCTGTTTCGCCTTCAATGCTGCACAAGATGGCGGTGGTTGTAAACCGTGTGAAAGCAACCTAGAACAAGTAAGTTAAGTCTATTTTCCACTTGCTTCTCTGTTCTCCTTCATGTTTGTTAAACATAGGCAAGACTGATGCATGATGATGGTAATTTCTGCTGTGAAGTTGTAAATAATTAATCGTCTATTGATTATTTATCGACATAAGCAACTTTGTAACCCTTTGTTGTAGTTGATCATGAACTTAATACTCTGGAAATTAATTTCATGGTACTACATAGTTTATCTGGACCTGTCTCTCATCACATTTAATACAGTAATAGTCCTATGCATATAATAACAAACTATACTGTTCCTGTAGACCTGTAGGTCTATAAGAAAAACATTTAACCCACAATAATTCGGAGTTTTAAAAATAAGCACCCCAAAACCAATCCAAATTGAACTCCATGTAAATATTGCCTAAAGTCTCCTGAATAAATATATAAATAAGTGGAAATCTGAACAATTAATTTTTAAACATAATTTAAAATGAATTTAATAAAATAAAGATTTATGTTTACGCTTCATGGTCCTAAGACAAAGGTTTTTTACAAGTCAGAGATCAGTGAATTGTCAACATTAAAATTTATCGATTGAGATGGCAGTCATTATTCAATGTACTGTAGGAATGAAGGTATTTTGATCTGTTTACAGAAATTAACACTTCCAATTTAAAATTTTAACCACTAAATTCCTCATAATATTTCAACATATTATACAATCTTATCTGTATAGCAATCTATTATTCCTATCAACAAGTTTGTGAATCAAGATCTTTTATCATTTCTGAAATCTAATAACTGTTCCCACGCTTTGTTGACTAAGTATTTGTTTTGCTATTTTGTGGTGGATTTTTCTTCGGCTATACCACTTCCTTGCACGTTGTTTTTTTTACTTTCACGTTTTTTTTTTACTTTATTTGTATTTCATCAAAATAAGAACAAACAAACTAATATCCGAGGGTGTAAACATACTTAGGAATTTGCCATTAAAAAGTGGCTAACATATGAGCTAACGTCATAATCAATTTAAAAGCCACATTCATCCTGACCGGTTAGAAGTGTACAGTAACATAAACTTCAAGAGCTGTTTATTTTTGACTGATAGTGGTGACATAGAAAGTGAAAACATGTTTACTGGTTATGTGCTGAAAGCAAACATCATCTTTATATATAATACTCAATATTATCAATAAAAAATAAAAATTATTAGCAATATCAAAAGCCAGTATTATTTAACAGAAAGTTTCTATTAAATGATTTTAATAATTAAACAATTAAAGTAAATAACAGATTTAATTTAACCTGTGTGTAGCCTAACTTTCTAAATCCCCATCCAGGCTATCAAATTTTATTTGGAAAAAAAAACAAAAAACATGCCTAAATATGGTCATGACATCACATCATGATGACATCACATCATGACCATATATAGGCACATCATGACTATATATGGACATACAACAGTTTTTTGTGTCGACTGCGCTAACCAGGATTGGTTACAGCAAGCAGACAAACTTTTTTTTACTGCTGTCTCAGCTTTTTTTTTTTATTAAGCAATGAACTACTGTACAAAATTTGTTCCAATTTTCTGTTTATAATAAATGTCATTTTAAAACTTGTGAAAGTGATTCAATCTGAGCATTAAAAAATGGTTCTTAAAGTACTACAGACCTTTGATAAGTCAAGTTATATCATGTTCAGTGGAATTGGGATGTAATCAATTTATGGTAGACCTAACATATATCTTTAACAGCTGCATAGATAACTTTAATAACCTGACATTCTTTATAATTATCAACTTTATTATTTTCTGTTTATTTTTTTTTTTTGGCAAAAAGAATCTATTTATTTCTGTATCTATTCTGTATAACTCTATATTTTAAGCTTTTGAAAATTTTGATTTTGATAAAAATAAAATTGTAAATAATATTTATATTTATGTATAGACCTAATTTGATTTTGATTAAGGGTTGGTAATATTAACATTTAATGAGTAGACAAATATATAATCAATTTAGATAAACCTTGGTCTGCATTAACGATAAATAGGGATGTGTCAAGATTGAGAAGTTTATTAAAATACAAGTAATGAAACAATCCAGATACATTTATCAGTCAACTTTAACCTTATGAATTATGGCTTTTGTGTTCACCACAACCTGTTTATTTATCATGATACTGGACCGTATGCATTAACCAAATCAAACGTTAGAACATGGTGGTCGAAGAGGTGTAGAAATTGGTTGACTTAATTTATTTCTATGAATGTATGCTTTTCTTCATCAAATTAACATTCTTCTCACATCAGATCATCTAAATTTAGTAACCCCACACTGATATTTATTATTTTGATAACTCCCAAGTTAGTTTTTATTATTTCTATGTAATACTTACCAACTACTGTATTCTAGCTCATTTATATCAGTTATTAGCCCATAAGCATTATTTTAATTATGTTAATTTGAGTAATACACACTCATCAGGTCTAAATTTAGTCATTTCACACTGTTGCCCACCCCTCGAGCTTTTCCCGCCCACTGGCAGGGTATTTGCCTTGGGCCTAGGCCCACGAAGATAAGGATACTCACAGCTGCGTTTAGGCCATGATGCGTGCTTAGTTTAGATGTTGGTTCAGCCTAGCACTGAGCAAACTCACCGACTCAAATATCAAACTGCATTATTGGCTCTTCAGAAAACACTCCAAGTATGTTTAATGTATTTCTAGTCATTGAAATGTTTTTCACTGCACCTGAATAGATATTTTCATTGCTTGTTTATACCTTAAAACTTTATTTTGAAAATTCTAACATCATGTCCAGATACGGCTGGATCAAGCTCTTTTTCCGGTAATTGAGAACAACCAGACCATGTCCCACAGGGATTTTTCACAGGTGACAATCTTAAGACCAGTAATGAAGTGACAGATTTAAATATTGTTGATAACACACGTTAATCGTTAATCGTCAAGACCTGGCAACTACCGGAACAAGAAATAGAGATACTACTGTATTAACTTTGTAATTTTAAATATGTACCACATGTATTTTGTTCTAGCTACGCTATAATAATACATTCTAAAACTGCTATAAATGAAGTTACACACTCCATCACATCCAATCATATGGGAAGCTCGCGTATAACTATGTATCATGTGGACTCACTTTAAAGTACAGTAATTATATAGCTAGTGTGGCTGGTGTACTTAATGATGATAGCAGGCCTATTGCACATTTTATATTGTTTAGCCTATTTTATTACAATTTTTATATAAACAGAAATACAATTATAATGTTTGAAAGAGGAAAACCATGGTACGACTTCCCAATAAATAGTATGAAATGAAAGTTATTTACAAGTCTGGAAAGGAACTAAATTAATGTTCATTACATGAGTAGGCATATAATGACATCGTATGTATTTATAGTGCAGTTATTAAACTTATCTCCTACTGTATACAGTTATCTTAGGTGGACAGGGAAACTTTACTGTTATGTTTTTATTGCCAACAGTAAAAAAATACATGTAATGTTTACAATGGTTTTTACAGTAACAATTAGTTGTGGTGACATTTTTTGTGGGGAAATAAGGTAATTCTATTCCACAAGCACATCCTGTGGCAAAACTAAAGACACATGTCATTCTGTGGGTAGCTTCCATCAAATGACGTATGAATCTGGTAAAACCATTTGATGGGAATTTTTTTTTCCTAGCTCTGACATTGAAAAATGTGATTGGGTTGTAATGATGTGTATATGGTTTCAAGTTTATTTTTTTAATATCATCCTTGCTTTCAAGCTAATTTGTGACTGATGCGTACAGTCAAAACAGCATGATAACTACAGTACAAGTTAATAATAATAATATAATAATATTTCACCTGATGAAGCTAGCTCAAACTAGCGAAAGCTTGTCCCAATAAATTTCGTTAGTCAAAGAAGGCCCTACTGTACACATTTCATTTGTATTTTATGCTATAGACTGTTACGGCTCCTACTTTTACTTTTATTATCTAATATAATTAAATAATATAATATATTTTTCAAACAATTACATTTTAAATTTTAAGTTATATTTTTTTTATATAAATTTAAGTAATATGTTTTATATAATATTATGATTAATTCTGAACTAATACTGTGATACCCTTTTGAACATCCTGTAACTACCGTGAGCATACCATCCAGAATATAAAGTTAAAAAAGAATTAGATACAGTAAAACCTGTAACTGTCATGTAAATAAATGGTGTTGGTTTGTAACAAAAATTGTTATATTCGACTAGAGAACTATTACAATTTTAAGTTTTACAAACTATAACAATTTTAAGAGTTAATCGCTTTGACCATCTCTGACCAACTGCCATTTATTACCCTTTTCTGTAAATTATTTTAAGATTCATATTTTTATTGCTGAAATTGCTTTTCAAAAAAAAGAAAACAAAATGGAAGTTTGGTATGTCTCTGACTATGCAAAAGCAGCTTTCGTGGTTAAAGAAATGGTTTTTAAAGTTACTTATTCCCCAATGTCCCCCAAACTTCTAATTTACTGTTCATCATATTTAATCAATTAGAAACATTAATTGCAGGTTTCCTTTATGGAGGAAGTAATTCTTGTCTTCATTACATCACAACACATCCATAACGCCTTTAACGGCCGCCTGCAAAAGTGTGAAATAGGACTGGTGAAATAAAATTAGGCATATTGGTAGCTAAGTAATGGAAGCCAGCTGGGTCTGTTTAGCCTAGGCTTGCTAGCATTGTCAAAATAATCGTTTTAAAGGGATTGATGATATGCCTACAGCCCTGGGCATGTGGATTTCCTTTTTCTCATCTCTCCTGGGCTATGCTAAACCTGTGTTCCCTTTCAAAATTCCTTGAAAATTCCTTGGAATATTCAATTAAACACCTAAGCTTAATAAAAAGGCTGGTCCCAGTTAAACTGATCAATATTAGTTGTATGAGACCATTATGGCACTAGTATGACAATAAAAAGCATTGAGGTTAGGAGAGCCGTGTGTGTTGTAG